ATTAGAAAGAGAGATACAGAGAGAAACAGAGTAAGCGTATGATCGAGAGAAAGAAGATATTAGAAATTGCGATAATGTTTTAGTGCGTATATGTATATTACTCTCTCACGCATGAATTAAAGTTTGGTAATTTATCAATTAATTATTGTATATAAAGCAGTAAAAATATATTGTGATATTGTCTCATTTCAATATATGGAACACAATGCAAAAGATTGCGTTTTCTATTATGCATGTTTGAAATAATTATGTTGGTAATGGCGGAACTAAAAATGTCGGTATTATCGATCCTTTTAGTTACGTTTAGATGAGGGCGCTAACCCGTCGGAGTTCGCCCGTCGGTTTAGGATTTAGGATCCCCTTAATGCGACCCGGGTACACCAAGTTTTTATACTTTGCTCTGGTGTAAGTTTGTTTTATGCGACTTAGAGTTTACGAAAAATTTTCTTTCGAATTATACATCCTGTAAGATATACTTTGCAAATCAAAGGAATTTTAATCGCACTTAACATCAACAATATGATTTGATATTATAGTATATAACACCCTTAATAAACTCTATAATAGTGTAATTTGTGATATACAATATTCAAAATTGTTGAACTTATTTTGAAAATCAGGTTTCTGTTAATAAAAATAAAATGCGTTTTAATTTCATAGAAACCCGTGAATCTGTGAGTGAATCTGTCTATAACATTTCTATAAATACAAGATTGATTTTATGACAAATACTATTTCAAATTACAAATCCTTATAAACTGAATTGCTTCTAAATACTTGGCTAGTTAACTATTGATTTCATTTAGTTTTTATTTTTAAACTTTTTTTGCGTACAAGTTGGGATTTTTTTATATACTTGGCGTATTTTTTTTTATCTTTGTAAGGTTTTTTTTATAATATATAGACCGCGCGTCTCTACATTTTCCGTAGTCAGAATAGTCAAAAAATAGAAAGAGATAACTGCTGTATGATCACCAATCTATCTTTTTCTAACGATGCGCGGTAATGTAAAGAAGTCTTCGTTGACTGGGAAACAGAAAAGTGGAGGAGATGAAAAGATAAAGATAGAATGGTGATACAAAGCATGCTATCTCTGTCTAATATTTGACGACCCCCACTCCTTAACACTTGGTGTAGATATACTATGTCTATGTATGAAACATAGGCCCGTATTCATAGTCAGTTCTTATATTTAAGACTGTCTTAAGTACAATCTTAAGATATTATAAACCAATCACAGAGCCGTATTAGCATCTTAAGACATTACTTAAAACGGTCTTGAAATAAGAACCGACTATGAATAAGGTCATAGTCGTATTAGCAGTCTAGGGCCGGTATTCATAATCCGTTCTTATATTTAAGATCATCTCAGATATGGTCTTAAGATGCGGTTATTTCATTGGTTGAATGGGATCTTAAGACGACCCAAGACCATACTTATTAAGATCATCTTGGATATAAGAACGGACTATGAATACTGGCCTATGTATAATATGCATATAGAAGTCTGTGTATGTATCTAGCGATAATTTTCACTCAGCGCAATCAATTATATTAATACAAATAGTAGTAATAATTTCAGGATTAATTAAGCAATAAATTAAAAAATAGTATTTCAAAGACTTTTCACTATTATTATAAGAAATTAATAATGATAATAATTTTAATTATATTAATTAATATTAATATTTATTTTATAATAATTATATTGTTAAAGAGAACGTATTTATTAGATGTACAACAATAAAGCAATTTAAATTCAATATAATTTACCGCTATTTTGCGATTACTGACTAGTATTGACTTCACATTAAAAGAGATGACGTATTATTTGGTGGGATAATTAACATAATCTCAAATTTTATTAAATAATAGAGAAAATTTCACCGATAAGTTTCTCGTCTAATACCGCATTCTTTATGAATTTCAACAAAAAAAGAACATTGCAAAACCATGAATCAACTTATTCTTTTCTTGGCATCAATATTGTGTCGTATAGTATACGTGCATATTAATTTATGTTTTAAATAAGATTATTTTGACATAAGTGATCATGAATAAATTTTCAGAGGCCTTCAAAAATCCGATAACAATGAGTCGATAGCGATGAGCTGCTTGATGAAAATTAAATTCAAATGTAAAAAAAAAAGTTCGCAAAACAGTTAGAAGTTATTTAGCAAATCATTTCCAACCCCGCTTACAAAAAATAAAAAAGATTTGAAAGAAGCAAAGGGGGTACCACATGAACTAAACCGGAAAAATATTTCAAGAACTCATTTGTACACTTAATAGAATAATAATATAACAATTGAAAAGGGCTAATAAGAGCCGGCTGCAGTAAGTCAATACACCGAGTTATTTTTTAAAAAACATTCAAGAGATCTTCTTTTATGATGTACGTTTCGATCCTTCCTTTGGATTATCTTCAGCAGGTTAACGGACAAAAGTTCGCATCATGTCTTTACATTCGATTTTATATCCCGTTCCCACAGAGTCTCCTATCGATTCCAGCCATTAAAAGATGTCATAATGTCTATAGGATGGAAATTACAAAGCTGGAGAGAATTAAAGATCGAAACATAATACAATTCTTTCCGAAGTGAAAAAATTAGTAAAGCGTAAGGAGGAGACTCACCAAATTAGTTTAAAACAAGACGGAGAGCCGAGATCGAGGAAACACAAACATTCGAGTGTCAGAAATAAATGACACGCATTGATACAAAATTAAATAATAACAAGACTGACATAGAAAATCATGACTTCGCAGACAACAGGGGCGGCACAATACATAAAGTGCGAGAGGTTATTTAAATTTTCGTTAAATTTTTTACAATTAAAGCATATGTATGATGGAGACATTCTATGTCCATTTGTCGGTTGAGACTATTTTTTCGACGTCTTATAAATAACATTTATGTATTAGTCTTTTACTAAGGATAGATTCCTCATCCAAAACCTCAACATTTTCCCAATCAAAATTTTGAGTCTCAACATCTTCTCTGCCATAAAAGGCACCTTAATGGGTTTGATGGATAGAGCTATTTTATTTCATCCAAGGTTTCATCAAAAAAATCTTGAGTTTGCAATTAAAATTCTGCTTGAGAATGGTTATCCATTGTCTTTGATCTTTGAGGACCTCTATTTGAAACTAAAAACGCTATTTTTTAACAAACAAACGACAAAAAGGATTGAACGTGACTTTAATGGTGACGATAATGATGACCGTAAAATTTTTTTTTCAAATTCCATTTATTGCTGGAGTGTCTGAACAATTTAAACATGTGGTCCATAATCAGAATGTAATGCTCTCTTATACTGCTCTGAATAAATTACGCTCTACCAAAGTATAAAGATCCTCTGCAGAGACAGTCACGTATGAATATTGTGTATAAGATCTCTTGTAAAGACTGTGATGCGTCGTACGTAGGCCAAACGGGCAGGTTATTAAAAACACGCATTAATGAACATCGCAATCACATTACAAGAAACACGTCGCAACATTCGGTGATCACTGACCAGATTAACAAACCATGAATTTGATTGGGAAAATGTTGAGATTTTGGATGAGGAATCTATCCTTAGTAAAAGACTGATATCCAAAATGTTATTTATAAGAAAAAAATAGTCTCAACCGACAAATGGACACAGAATGTCTCCACTATACGTATGCTTTAATTGTAGAAAATTTAACAAAAATTTAAATAACTTCGCGCTTTTATAGTATTGTACCGCCCTTGTTGTCTGCGAAGTCATGATTTTCTATGTCAGTCTTGTTATTATTTAATTTTGTATCAATGCGTGCCGTTTGGTGAGTCTGCTCGTTACGCTTTATTAATTTTTTCACTTCGGAAAGAATTTTATTATGTTTCGATCTTTAATTCTCTCCAGCTTTGTGATGTCCTATCCTATGGACATTATGCCATCTCTTAATGGCTGGAACCATTAAGAGACTCACTGCGGGGACGGGAGGTGAAATCGAATGTCAAGACATGCGAGCTTTTATCCATTAACTTGTTGAAGATGATCCAAAGGAAGGATCGAAACGTACATCATTAAAGAAGATCTCTTGAATGTTTTTTAAAAATTAACTCGGTGTATTGACTTACTGCAGCCGGCTCTTATTAGCCCTTTTCAATTTTCGTATTGTTATATTTATATCAGAGCTTTTCTAATTTGTTATTATAATAATAATAATAATAATAATAATAATAATAATAATAATAATAATAATAACTATAACTTTTATATATTTCGCATGGAGCCACAGATGTCTATACTAGACTAAATTGCTAACTGGGCCTTCGGACTTGCGTCGCATAAGATTTCCGATTGTATGAGAGAAAATGGTGGCGGTCCTGTGTGTGTCAACTAGTCAAAAACTGGTCAAATTAAATGCAGTGCTTGTATGGATAATATCATCCAGAAAGTTTCTGATAAAAAAATAAATTAGCAACATATACAATATTAGTCGATTTAAAAAATAATAGAGGATTAGTATATGCGTCACATAGCATTCTTTGTCTCATACACCGGAAATCCTATCGGCCGCAAGCCATGCTATTGTAATCGTGACAAGTTGGCAATCTAGTTTAGTATAGACATCTGTGCATGGAGCACACCATATATATACTATGTTTCTTAATAATAAATTTATTGCAATACTTACTTGATGTGTGAGAAATATAGAGAGTTGCATATGACAGTTTCTCCAGTTTGCTGTACCACCAATCTGTTGACCAGATTCTACCTTTACTGTACCTAAGGGATGATTTGACGGTAGCACTATGCTTAATTCCAATTTTGTGTCATCCATTTGATATAAGGCTATTACTTCTCTTGTTGTTGGATGCACCTTTATCTAAAAATATAACACATATAAAATTAAATTACAAAGTTTAAAAATACAAAAATAATTTTATAAGTAAATTTTAATGAATATACCTGCATATTTTCAACATTAACTAATCTGTTATTAAGCTCTTCTTGACAAAGCATAGGACTGATATAATGACTCGTAATCTTATCTATTATTGCACTGACTTTACTATCAGCTGTACTCAGCCATTGTCTCACTAATACTGGTAAATGTCGCAAGCAGTTTGTATATAACCAGCATACAATATGATCTAATCTCCATTCTGTCCAACTTTCTATAATATAATAATAAAATTAGTAT